CGTTCCCCTCAAGTCCTACATCCGAGACCCACTTTCACAATGACCTAAGGAAAGTCTTTTGAACCCACCCTAGAACATTCGTAGACACCGGAATACACTACAGATTCTTCGACAATGTAGCTAATCTCAAGTGAAGCTGGTTACAGAAAAGGTAAAATCAGCCTTTTTACTATTTTCACTTCGAAAAATAAGGCAAAATCGACCTCTCCCTGTTGATTCAGAAAATATATATACTGCGAAGGGAATAGGGGCTTACTGAGGTAGGAGATTGAAGTTCATACCTTCTTCGACGCTCCTTATCTGGACCCCTGCCACGGTGGTCTCAGCTGTGGTTGAGGACACTGACTTTTCCTCTTTGATGGTTTTTGTCTCATCAGTTGATGAATCTTCTGAAGAGGCTTTTGTAGTTGATTCCTCTGCCACGGTGGTCTCAGCTGTGGATGCAGACACTGACTTTTCCTCTTTGATGGTTTCTGTCTCATCAGTTGATGAATCTTCTGAAGAGGCTTTTGTAGTTGATTCCTCAGCGTCAGTGGAAGAAGCAGATGTCGAGTCAGGATCAGGAGAGGCAGAGGAAGTGTCTGTAATTCAAAGCTCAGAAGCAGATGTCGAGTCAGGATCAGGAGAGGCAGAGGAAGTGTCTGTAATTCAAAGCTCAGAGCTTATGTTCTCTAATCCATCCTTTTTTGAAGTTTTAATTTTGTTATCTGATTCAACCTGGACTATTATTATTTTTATCTTTGTTTAGAGACCTTAATTTTTGATTTTCTATTTTACTTGCTTGTACTTTACCTATATCTAAATACATTGAATTCTGACGCTTAAAGCTTCCAGTTGGGAATGCTAAAACGGGGTTCGAGTCATGGCGAAAGAGCTTCGACTTGGCCTCAACCAAAGCTCGTTCCTGCTTTTGATCTTCTTGGGCATAGTTTAATTGCTGTACATTATCTATAATTACATACATTCAACTCTGACGGATACAGTTCATTTTGCTGCGAATGCTAAAATGGGGTTTGAGTCATGGCGAAAGAGCTTCAACCTGGCCTCAGCCAAAGCTCGGTCCTGCTTTTGATCTTCTTGGGCATAGCTACAACAACTTCACAGGCAACTCTGTATTTCATAGGCACTTCCTTGAAGCACTCATTAGACATACTTGTCCGTCCAGCTCAAAGGATTGAAAATCTAAGATTTTTTCATAACGTCCACTTAATTTCCTTCAAAAGAAGAATCGTTTAGGTTAACTGTTTTTATATTAATGTGTTGCAGCTCTCCTACCCACCTTGTTCCGCACTTCTTCGATCACGAAGCCGTATGTTAGTCACTGTTCTAATCACTGACGACTTTGACTTGGCCACTTCCGTAGATCCTTCGGCGTCTTCAGTAGAAGCATGCGATGTTGAGTCCGACGTCTTCAGTAGAAGCATGCGATGTTGAGTCCGATTGGGAGGTAGCAGGGGTAGAAGAAGGTGATTCTATAATGTCAATGAATTGTGCATTAATAACACTCTGGAAAAGCCGAATGAATACTGCTCTAATTCGGTTCCTTCAAAACTATCAAACATTTTGACAGACTTTTTACTATGCCGCCAATCTCCAATTTCCTATGTAATTTGGAATTTCTAGCAAGTGCTTTGAGCCGTACGAGCCGATTAGACGGTCAAAAAAGTATCACTACCATAATAATGTGTTTCTTCCAAGCTAGCATACCCTATGTATGACCTTATCAGTAATCTAGGAACAGCTCGCGACAAAAAAAGCTCTAGTTTCCTCTTTTTATTGGGAAGGATCTTTGCTTTCTGCGGAGGTTGGGGCTTTGAAAAGCAATAATAAGAAGTACCATGTGATAAAACGGCCCCAAAAACCGTTTCAAATGCTTCTTTTTGGCGAATGTCCCGATAAAAGGATGTTTTTTGAATGTGGAGCTGGTGGTCATTGTTTACCACAATTCGAATAGGGCACCTTGCGGTGAATATGAAGGGTCGGCTGTTTCTGGTGTGGCTGAAGTCTCGCCCAAATTCCCCTTTCGTTATTAAAATATTCCATGACTT